TTAATCAGCCAAAATCACTAAATTCTACTTTCAACTAACAGTATGCAGCCTTTAAAGTTTAATTACAAAACTTTGTCTTTCTTACACAGTTTTTAGGATTTACGCTGCAACGGCGACGCAATCTTTACCCAACCTTTAGGTAATATTCATAAAGATCTTGAGTGAAGATATTAGCAGCATTTACTGACGCACACGTCTTGCTCAAACGAGCTCATCAACAACAAACTCAACAAACAATGAATTACGTGTATGACAGATTCAAAAACAGTTATACAAGTGGAAAAACCTGGGAATGGGTCTTCTAAAAGTTTACTTACATCAGTCAAATATTTTTTTTCTTTTACCTTTAAGACTGCTTGAATATATATCATCAGCAAAAAGATAAAGGGAGCAAAAGTTCTAAACTTATAACCTGCAGTAATACTACCCATCTTACTGTGATTTAAACAAAAATAACAATACAAGAATTGCAGTTTCATCCTTTATTTTCTTTTCTTTTTTTTTTTAAATTTCAAAAGTAAAAGGTACCGAGACAAACAGTGGATTAATGGTGACAAAATGCCTTTTACAACTGCACCTTCATAACAAAGTTATCCAGAGACTACATTGGCTTTCTGTAAATAGTTATACATGCTTACAACATTGTGAAACAAACCGCATCTATAAAAACCTCAAAATTATATTTTCTTGGTCCTCAGGTGGTAGTCATACCTGTTTATAACATCAAAAGAATCCTTGATTTTTAAAAAAATTTTAATTCCCATAGCAGTCATACAGTAATTATGTGGTCCTTTAGCAAGTTTTTATGAACCCTAACAAAGCATAACAGTGACTATACTGGTCCTCACTGAGTAGTCATAAATGTTTACATCATGAGAGAAAAATATTCTTTGGTATTTGCATTTTTATAACAAATCTCAACATTGATTACATAAAACTAGCAGATTATCATAAGTGAGAAGCTTCAAATCAAAACAAACCAAAACAAAGTCGTGCAGTGATAACACGGGTCCTCTACGACACTATGATAAGTCATAAATGTATGCAACAAAAACAAAAAAAATGCACATTTTCATAACAAAAGTCATACAGTTTCATTTTAGAACTTCTACTGTGTTCATGTTCGTCCAGTTAAAGTTGGTGTTTTCTTTACAGCTGCTTTGGAAATCAGCATTTTAACGTGTCGCAAAGTCTCACGACATGTCTGTCTGTCTTGAATCCCTAATTCACGTACGCCTCTACTTTATCGAGCAGCTCAGACGCCTCGTTCAGCGCCAGCGTCTCGTTCTCCGAGCTGAACCGTCCGTTGGGAATGTGAGGGTATGGATGGTGGTTGGGATATTGGGTCTTCTTGGGGTCGACTCCCAGCGTCTTCAGTTTTCTCACAATCTGAGGCAGGTCTCTCAGCAGAGGACTGTAGCAGGAAACTTGATCAGCAAAGGCTGAAATTGAGCCGCTGTTGGGTTGTTGACCATTTCGTTTGTATGCTGCAGCTATGAGAGACTTTTCCACTGCTTGATGGACTTTAAACAGACACCACTCTGTATTCCCCTTGCCAGTCTCTTCGGAAGCTGCATTGAGATCACAGCGAGCCTGTCTACACCAGCGCTCGGCCTCCTCTCTGTTGGGCCTTGGAATGTTTTCATTGTAGGTCCAAAAGTTGTAGGAATGATGGCCCCGATAGAATCTCTCTCGGCCTTTTCTGTGATGCCTGGCCTCCTGATTCCATTGTGAGTAGAAGTTTCTGAAATTTGAGTTTCCATGCGAATAGGACGGACCTGCAGATGCGCCTTTGCTTTTGCCAGTGCTGAGCTCATCAATGCGATTCAGCAAATACTTGAATGCCTCATTGGCGAGAGATTCGCAGTCGGGATTTTTGTCAGGATGCCATCTCAGGTACAGTCGTTTGATGGCTTTCTCCCTCTCCTCTTTAGGAAGAAGCCACATCTCTTCCAAACATTTGTCAATTTCCTTTTTAGCTTCTTCAAAAGAGGCTGGTAAGGAACTCGTTGATGGTTGGGAAGAACGTGGCACGGCTCCCACTAGGAGCTCCACCTCCATGCAGGCTGGTTTTACCTTCTTTTCTCGTTTAAACTGGTAAATGTCAAGATAACTGACCTCAACTGGCTCATCCTCTCCGATTTCTATTTTGTATCTCTGTGACAAATGTCCAGATTGCCCAGAAAGTTCTTCAACAATTACTGCATAAATGTACTTGTTGTCAGCGCTGTAGCCAACATATTCCCCCTCTTCAAAGTTGTTGAGGATGTTCATGTCCAATGAATCGTGCCATTCCTGTGGAATCTCTGTCCCAGGGGGCGGTGGACCATGGGGGAAGCTCTCACTTTCAGCACTGTCACGGATCCCGTTCTTAGCCAGAGCTTTCTGAACGTCTTCGATATTGTCACACATAAGAAGCTGTCCGAGCACTGAGAGGTGATCTGATGCAATTCTGTTGCCTAAGAGAGCATTAATCTCCTTTGTCAATGTCATGTTTACTTCATTTAACACTTTAGGGGCCATGTCATCATTGTGTTTTAGGTAAAAGATGCACCCTTGTTGCTCTCGGTGGACAAAGACATCAGTTTCGCTGGCAGTTTTGTCCAGTGGCTGATTATCCAACCATAGCTTCGTTTCAAGGGTTTTGCAGCAGACAATCTGAATTCCGCCGAAAATCTTCTCACACATGGCAGTAGCATCTTGTTGTGTTACTTTGCCCTGAGACGGCTCTCTGATAAGACAAATCAGTCCATGTCTAAATGCTCCTGAGGAGAGATGTCTATCAAACCATCCCCTAAATTCACAACCAGTCTCAAGTTCACAAAGCTGCATGTGTAGTTCCACTACTCTTTCCTCAGTGACCTGAGACAGCATTTTAGGCTGAAATCTCTGAGGCAGCAGTTTCAGCAGCCGATGATGTTTATAGACGTCCCTGCCCAAATGACACTGACTGAGTTTCTCAAGCAACAGGAACTTATTCCCCAGCGCTTCTTCCAATCTTTTGATCTCAAACACAGTGTCGTTGTAGTAGAGTGTGTGTGATGGGTGTAATTTACCATCTACTGCAGGAAGGTACAGAGTTTTAACACTGTCCATAAGATTCTGGACTTTTTGAGTACTGATACACTGAAACAACTGCTCAACAGCTCGCTGTACAGTTTTCTTTTGGTTTCCTTGGAGCTGTGGTTTCTCGCAGGAATCAGCATAAACTGCTGCAAGAACGTTACAGTAGTGTGCTACAGTAGGTTCATTCTGCACACCAATTTTTCTGAAGAACTCTTTATACAGGGCATCTTGTGAAGGAATTTTGTACAAATATGGTCTGAACTCAAGATCCTCGGGAAGTGAAAGACACACAACATCAGCTTTCAAAAGTTCTTTGTCTTTCTCCACCAGTACAACAGGAAGTCCAGCCAACTGCGCTCCATCAAACCCATTTGCTTGCAAGTAGGCATATGCAACTCGAAACACATTTGCGCGGGTTTTGATCAACGGATCAGTTTCACACGGTGACTGACAAATGTTCCTCATGTTGCTGGTTACACAGTTTGAAGGTGGTGTTTCATGGGCTCCTACATTTTTCATCATTTTTAGCAGCTTCTCTGACTTGTAAACTGGAAAATGAATAATTGGCATTGAGGACCAAATCAGTTCGCGATGCTTAGAATCACTTTCAATCAAAGATCCTCTGATCTTAACAGTAGTTCCCTCTGCAGCAAATGGTTGGTGATAGTTGCACAGTTCCTTTTGAATCCCCACTGGAAAAATGAACTTGATGTCGGCTATTCTCTCTAGCAACTTTTCCCCTTTGTTTTTGTCTTCATTTTTGCTCGCTTTAGTCAAAGCTTCGCGGAAAATTAATGATGATTTCCGCTTCAAATCGTCAAGTTTGCTGTTTCCTTTTGCTTCCGACTCCAACTGTTGTGCAAAATTTATTATGTCATCTTCTGACACAACATGCCTCATTCCAAGTTCTTTGACCAGATTTTTTGCTTGTCTTCGTTCAGAGCGCTCTTCTCCACACAACTCAGTCCAAAATCTCTCTGGCACAAACTTCTCTTGGGGCAGCATTCTCTTGTAAAGCTCAACATCGTCATCAAAGTAGTATGATGCGGTCTCCAATCTACCTTGAGAACTGCGAATCAGTTTCACTGTCTTCATTTCAGAGAGGATTTTGTCCCTGTACTGAGAGAAATCCAGACTGTACTGCAGTGACAACACCAGCTTGAGGCAGTGAAGAATCTGTCTCTCTTCGAGTTTGTGTACAGCAGGCAGAATGAACTTCATGAAATACTCCGAATCCTTCAGAACTGGAATTTTCAGCATTTGTGACAGATTGCAGTTCTCTGGGTTGTTCTTGAGAAAAATGCTGTTGATGTCAGGCAAGCTAAACAGATCTGGAAATATCTCTGAATACGTGCAGTGGAGGACAAATACTTGTTTCGGTCCATCAATCCTTACTCGGCAACCGTGGGTTGTTTCAAATATCGGTAAGGATTTCAGCTTCCTCTTGTATTCTTGACTGTTTTTGGAGTCGGATACTCCAGACTGCAGGAAGTTCTGAAACTTATTCATCTCTTCATTTGAAAGCTTGGAAAATTCTGAGTGGTTCAGATTGCAGACCTGGTCCAACACTGAGCTTTTGTCTGTCACATTCAGGAGTTCTGGGTTGAGCAGGGAAGTTGCCTCTCGGTCTACATCAAAGAAGAAGACAATATCAAGCCTCATAAAACCAAGTTTTAGGAGGATGTTTGGTATCTCTTTTTCTAAGGTAGTTGGAATCACGCTGGACATGTCCTTCATTGTTTGCAGCAAGTGCTTGTTGTTCAACCTTGGACACACAACAGGTAAAATGCAGCAGTCACTGAACAGGCTCCTCACATGGCTTAATGTCAGACCATCACGAAATGGTGCAGGATGGATTTGACTTGTTAAGAACTTCCAAAGTAATTTCAGCCACTTCAACATGTTCTCATTTGGGATATGAAGACCACTGCTTGGGTCAACATCACAGGGCTGAAGATGTTGCTGAATCAGCGGCTTCAAATATTCAGCTGAGCAGGGAACTGTCAATTCTTTGACAAGGTTTAAAGTTTGTAGAAGTTCAATGTGTTCCCAGTTTGTCTTACCATTTGCAAACTGGTCCCCATAGCCAATGAAAAGATCATCATATCTTGAGATCCACTTGGGAGATTGAGAGTTAAACACTCTCAAAACTTTATCTCTTGTGAGAAGAAGTGGAAGCCCATTGAATGAACTGGAATTGTCCTCAGTGACCTTTTGCGAGCTGGAATCTTTTAAGCAAAATCTCAAGAGCTCAGAACATCTTGTTTCATCTTTGATCAGAGTGGCAGTTATGTGCAACGGTAAATCCTCATCTGTTTGGGTTGGATCATTCAGTGGTTTGTCTCTTAGGAAAGTCCGCACACTGCTGGGACTGACATCTTTCACCTGAATGTTAGCAGATTTAAAACTGTTCCAAATCTTGAGCATCTTTGTGGAAAAAGGAACCAGTTTCATTCCAAGATCCTCCAGAATGGTATTAATTTGGTCACGTTCTAAGTGTGTCAGGTAAGGTGCCTCAACAGATTCTGTTTTGCTGACGTCACACCAGTCAAAAGAGTACTCTTTAATTTCTCGTCCTGCAATTTCACGTGTTGAGCTCCTCAACACTGGGATCACATCGAGGCATTTTTCTTTAATTGATCTGTATACCTCGTGTATCATTTCGTGCCACTCCGGACCAACACCTTTCGATGAAGTTGGCCAAAAACACAAGTATGAGTCCCTGAAACGAGATTCAAGTTGTGCAAGAGACACCTTCTTGTCTGCAATGCGACGGCTGATGCAATACAGGAGATCTGCATATAGTGGAGCAATGATGTTCTGTTTCAAAGACTCATTCCAGTTTGCTTTCACACTTTGGCCATCTTCCCTCCAAAGACCCCTCCTGGCAGAATCTACCTCAAAGTTTCCATTGACATGCACTGGCAGTCCCGTTTTCCCTGGCAAAGGAAGTGAACAAAAGGCTGCTCCATTAAAATCTATGTACCCAGATGGTAGTGGGTGTGAAGTCTTTGTGCTTACTCGTGCAGCTAATGCTGCTTGGGGAAGTTTGTCTGTCATTTCAACACTGTCTTTGAATGAGCCAAACTGCTCTGCAATGATCCATTTACTTTGTCTCTTGTCTGAGGTGGAAATCAAGGTTTCATAAAAAGTCTTGTGTGGGGTTGCTGGTGTGTCAGATTGTAGAGCAGTTTGTAGTTGTTTTACAAAAGTCTCTTTTTCTTTTCTGCTTGTCTCTGGCAGACTCTTTTCAACCACAAAGATGGTTTTAAGTTTTCCTGAGTGTTCATTGATTTCATGGACTTTTATTTTGCAGATGTTTCTCAGAAACAGAATGAGTCCTTCGGGGTCTTCAGCCAGAGCAGAGCACAGCTCCTTCATGTCATGGTCAGTGATTCCTTGCTGTGATATTTTGGAGCTGTTTGCATTGATACCCATCCTCAGAGGTAATCGGAACATGGTGCCCTTTTCAAGACAAAAAGTGTCTGGGAGATAAGACTTGTAGACATCTACATACATCTTCTTTACTTCGTCAGCTAGGTTATAGCCAATGCCGTACTGTGGTTTGTCTGAATGTTTCTCAATGTATTTCTGATTGGGATCAAAAATGCAAAGTCTTTCATCTCCAGTTAGGATGGAAGGGCAGTCCGTCAGATGGTAAACAGAGTTGAAACCAACTCCATATTTTCCTATCTTCCCTGGGGAATTGTGCTTTCCTCCTTCACCCAGCTGTTGAATGCCACGCAGGTCAGCATCAGAAAACACTTTGTTGTTGAACACGCAAAGTGCTGGACCCTGTAGATGGTTCCATTTCTTTCCAAATGTTTTTTCTTTGCCATGCTGTCGTTTGTCCCAAATGAAGTGAATCTCTGTTGCCTCTGCGTCATCAGCATTTTGAATTAGCTCTTTAAGGATGTCCTTCTTCGATGGATAAGATGAAATTATGTTCTTTATTCGAACAGTTAGTTCTTCCTGCTGTTCAAAAGAGAAAGCAAATTGGGAAAGGCTGTCATTGACGTGGTTTTGCAGAGTGTGATGCCTGGTTGTTTTGATTCCAAAGTGACGAGCCATTGCACGTGAGATATCCTCGTGACATAATGTGACATCTGAAGCAACTGGCATCCATGGGCTGTCATTGTAAATCAGCTCATTTGCAGGCTGTAAAACTCCATGCTGATTGGGTATCAGACAATCTCCTGATGTTTTTACTTTGGCCTCGTATATCCCTTTGGTTAGTATTGTGTGGCAAATTGATAGATCCTTCTTTGGCAGGGTCTTGTTTCCATGTCGAGAGCGCAGCTCCTGGAGCACAGTTAGAAACTGATCAACTGTAAACTTCTTTTGAACACCTACACTTTCCCAGAGATCCCTGAAATTAGAGAAGGCAGGTGGAAGTACATGGAGATAGGGCTTTGCTTCAAACTGTTCGTTTTCAGCGACACAGCTGACATTTACAAATGTACTGCCAACAAGAATGAATGGGAATGAATTTGCTGACTGCGAAATGATAGGGGTATTCCCAAAGTCCCCGATCCACTGATTTAGAAACCTGTAGCAGTCAAAGGCTATTTTGTGAAGCACAGATGTGTCCATTGATTCAGATTTCTTGGAAGCTTCTTGGAGCTGCTGAAGCACTGTCACTGGCTCTGGACTGCTGTGAACTCCCAAAGCTTGTAGGACTGGATCAGTGTTGTGAATTTTCAGGTTGGTATGATCCAGCACGTGTTGTGTCATGTTGACGAGTAGGGAGCAACTGTCACTGAAAACATCGATGGGCCTTTGAAGTGCTAAAATTCCTTCCATTTTTGTGTCACCGGGGTAATATGCTGGGAGAAATGCAGTCATCCTCAGTGTGTCCCAGTGAACTGAGTCTTCATCGTACAGGTGATCCTTCATAAGTTCAAGAAGGCACTTTAAACGCACATATGCTTTCTTTTTGTCAACACTCCAGGTCTGAGTCACTGTGGCTGCTTTCTCTGTGATGTCCTCCAATGGAAGATAATCACTGGCCATTCCAAGCTCAGACAAGCGTTTGATCCTTTCTGGGGAACAAAAGTCCTTTTTGGTACCACCAAGCAAGCGTCCCTCTTCTGGTTCAAAAAGACAGGCCGCCCTCCCTGATGGATTCACAAGTTTCTTGATATACTGGAGCTGTCCATCCGTTGTGGGTATGCATGGATAGCTGACCAGCAGACTGTCAAGTTCTTCGATATGAAGGTCAATGGCATGCAGCACAAGAGTATCTCTAGTCTTAGGGTCCAAGGTACTGAGGTTTTTGAACACTGCTTCTTGGTAAAACTTCTCCCAGTTCCATGTCCTGTTTTGCAAAACCTTTTCAAGGCCAGCCTGTTGGAAGCTATTTCTCAACCACTGTGGAAGAGGAACAACATGGTTGGGTGTTTTTGCATATTTCTTGCACACCTGCGCTGCAAGTGCGCTGATGTCTTTCTTCTCTTCAATGCTTTCATGTAGAAATATGGCATTGTTCATTGAGCACCAATGTTCTCCATCACTAAAGAGCTCTAGGCCAGTGGAGGCCTGAGCAATGGCTGAGTAAAACGCATCCACCAAAGGCTTGAAAGTTGCACTCACTTTCTCCCTGTCAGGCCAATAGGTGTGGTAAGAGTAAGCCTCCAGTTGATTGTTTTCAGACATTTTCTTTAATGCCAAGAGGGCAGTAACGTAGGCGTTCACCACCGGATCCTGAAGAAGAGCCTTGTTCCACTCATTTTTCACTCCACTTTCCCACAGACCTTTGCGGTTGCTTGTCACAGCAAATGTTCCATTTACATTGACTGGAAGACCTGTTTGAATTGGAAGAGGGAGGAAGCAAAATGCCTGTCCAACAAGATTTGTTTGCATTGCTGACAATTTCCCAGTTTCTGGGTCGTTTTGCAAAGGCACGGCAACCCCACCAATGGGCAAAGAGAACTTAGCGTGCTTGTTTTCTTGAAAGGCCATTTTCAAGGACTGGTGTGTTCCAAAGCAGTTGTACAGGAGCCAGCATTGGACTTCATTCACATCAGACTGCTTGCTGGTTATCTGGATGAAGCTGATTGTGCAGCAGTCAATTACCTCTTTGCATTTACCATCAAGTTCCATCAGTGACTTCTCTGCTTGACACTGCTTTGACACACTGCTTTCATCAGGAATCGTCATTGTCCTCACAGTGGTTTTGGAGACAGTGAGGACGGTTTTTATTTCGTCATCTCTTGGTGGTGTTGATGCATTGTTTGACATGTTTTGCAGAGACAATGTATTGATGTTCTTCAGAAAAAGCAGGTGAGTTTGTGAATTCTTTGTTAGGTGCTGTTGGAAAGCAATGATGTCGTGTTTTTGATACACGTTTGTGCTGATTTCTGACCTGAGAGCCTCTTCTTCACTTCGGAAAGGTAGTTTGATCAGAGTGCCAGGATAGGGTTTAGGAGGACTTTGTTTTGTGAAAGCGCAGTCAAAAATGCGTTCATATGGTCCAAACTGACCAGGAAACCAATGAAAAAGTCTTTTGAGAGAGAGATCCAGCTTGATTCCAGGATTTGTTTTGTGTTTGATATGCTTTGTAAGGTGAGTTACATTCGGATCAAGAATGAGAAGATGGTTGCCACTGAGGATGGAGGGGATATCTGTCACATGATAGACAGTATTGAATCCAAGTCCAAACTTTCCAATTTTCTCCACTTGGTTTTCCTTTGAGGCAGAGCCAACTCTGACAATGTTTTTCCAGTCTTCAGCTGTGAACTGCTGATTATTAAAAGCCCAAAGACAAGGTCCCTGACAAAGAGCCATATCAGGGTCAATGAGACTTTCAGGGGCATCTTTGTGGACTCTGAAATCCACCAAGAATTTACAGGCCTGTGCTCCAGCATCCTCTGCATTTTGAATAAGCTCTTTGAAGATGTCACTGTCTTCATCATACTCTTTAAGAATGTTCTTGATCCTCATTGTTATTGATTCAGACTGTCCACATTGCTCTATTCCCATTTCGTCTCCAGCACCTACATCCTCTGGACTGAGAATGTAGGTACTGAGAAACTCAATTTTTAACCATTCAGCCGTTGCTTTTGGAATTTCCTCATGTAAGACATACATTTCCTCTTCACTGTGCTGAAGTTCTTTCAGCCCATTTCTGCTTACATCGCAGAAGACTGCTGCTGACCGTGGTTTAAGGGTAAACTGTTCCCCCTCTACAATCACTGGCACTGGGATGTCATCCAGAACTGGCTTCCTCTCTCTCCACAGCCAGTTCAGAATTTCGATTGACACCTTTATCTCAGAGGAAGTTGCAAGTGGCTGTTGCCTTGCTTCAATGGTTTGCTGGATCAAGTGAAGAATGCCATAAATTTCCTTATCTGAAAGGAATTCTCTCAGGCCAAACTTCTGGAGCAACTTTTTGTATGGCAAAAATTCTTTTGGCACTTTCCCAATGTAAGCGCTCAGATCTAGATTACATGGGTAGTCGAGAACCAGGTCTTGTGGTGAAACAAACTGGTTGTGAGTCCACAGCCAGGGTGTCTCCTTGTTCATTGCTGCTGTGAATACAGAGATGTTTTCTTGCATGTGTTTGTAAATGCTGTGCAACTTTCTTTTGAAATCCAAATTTGTGTCAGGATCACCCATTTTCTGTGCTTCTGATGCCAAGACTGACAAATTCTGAATCACTTTTTCAGGAGGGGGTGGACGTTTTAGACCAAGTTTGTTGCAAACTCTGTCACTGAGCTTTCTCACCAGCGGCATTACATGTCCAACAATGTCCTCGTATGCAGAATCTCGTATTTCATCTGGGCAAAAGAAACAAGATCTCTGATGGCCATCACTTAATTTGTCAGCTCCAGGTTGATTACATGGGACCCATTTTAGCATTTTGAGCTGATGAAGCTGTTCATGAGAAAACTTTGACAGTAGATCATTTGCATCCAACATTTCCAAGAGAACCTGAGCTCTTTTGAGAGCCTCAGTTTGAGAGTCCACACGCAGTTTATCAATCTGTGTGGCAGCATGCAGCAAATGCTCAGGGGATAAATCTGTTTCTTTACTTAGCAAACCAAGATCTGTTAGGCTTTCCAGCATCTGCGGTATATGAGTATACGAAGATGGGGGGAAGAAGTCTGACTCAAAGAGGACTTCAAAAGTTTGAATTCTTGGATCCAAAAAGCTGGAGGTCTTTCTGAGCTCTCCATTCACTTCAATGAACTTCAAGTTCTTGCATTTGCTTTTCAAGGACTGATTTTGAGAGAAAAGGATGTTACCATGCTGCAAAATCCAAGTCATTATATTCTCAGTGTCTTCACTGCTGCAAACCCCTTTCTCAATACAGTCGATGAGGACATTGGCTGCTTCAGCTGTGTCCAAGAGATTAACATTCAGCAGCTTTAACAGCCTGTGATCAGCCTCAGTAGCACACTGGATAACTGAGTCAGGCATGGGGAGCTCTGTCGGTACTGTTAGGCCAGAAATCAGTAGCACAGCTTGTTTTGACTGAGCTGCGACGCAGAATCCTTTCATGGTTTGAAACAGGGGCAACTTTGAGAGAAAGACTTTTTCTCTGTCTGAGATAGAATCCAGATGAGAAAGATAATCTTTCAGTTCTTCTCGTGCTCTGTGAGATGTGCTCTTGAGCTCTGTGATGAGATGCTGAGAATCTAAGTTCATGAGGATGTTCAGGACGCTCCTTGGAGATGGGTAGAGCACATAAGAGTCGAGGTCTTCGTGTCTGAGCCACTCATTTCCTCTCACCACTGTGCCACCTACGTCATTCACCAACTGAGCTATCTGGTCTGGCAAACTAATCTGCTTGCTTCTCTGAAAAATGAGAGTTGTGTTCTGCTGTAGTTTGGCTACTGACACAGGCTGACTGACAGACAGAGGACTGACTGGTATCAACGGTATTTCAGTGAAGGGACTTAACTCATTGAAGTTAGCATTGAGAAACTTCCAGAAGTCTTGAAACCAGTTTAACGGTGGATGCTGACTGTTGTTGTTGTCCCAGATGACATGCTGTGTCCCCGTCTGCTTCCAGTCCTGTGGCAAATACCTTCTTGTATATTCGGCCACATGGTTTGCATCAATGTTGATGACGTTGAAAAAATCTGAAAATAAAGGTTTTGGGAAGATAATCTGTTTAAATATATGCATGTATAGTACCAAAGCATGAAGATGGCACATGCAGACAACTCTGATATCCCTGGATTCTATCAAATAACTTACTTCTGCTGGCCAGTTCTTTCAGACGGGTACTGCAGGCTGAACTGAGATCATGTGGGATGAAGAGGTGTTCACAGAACGGCAGCAAGACTCTGCACAAAAGATAGGTTTGTTCAGCGAGGACATTTTTTAATAAAGTGACCAAAAAAGGATATTCTTCTCCAATGTGAATCCAGTCTAACAGAAGTAAAACAGTAGCAACTGGTAAATATTATACTGAGGCAAGTAAGCACGAGTCCGTCACCACTGATGGATTTTTGGGAACAACTACTGACAGCATGTATCATTTCAGTAAATTACAGTGAACAATGTCATGTTTTTAGTAGTGAACAAAGTGTTCAGAGGCTTTACTAAAGTACAAGCAGCTGTACAGCAAAGTCAAACTACTCCAATATCAGTAAAAGTCCACTGGCAGATCGATTATGATATATGACAACATGAGATTAACACTGAAGCATCAGTGTGTCAGCAGCATGTTCCTGTTGGTTCTGCTGGAGGTGCATGGAGCTTGTTTAAACTGCTTTGTGTACAGTTTTACGTGCGGATAAATTTGAGATGATTAGGAAGAGATGAAAGAAGAAAATACTAACTTTTGATACACAGATCAGTTTTCTGTTTTGGTCTTGTTTGCTAGTCTTTGATTTGTTTTTTCATCGGCTATTTGATTATTTGAACATTAATTGAGGTTTCGAGGAAAAAAAGCTGTTAACAACTCATGTACATCTGATGTGACCACAACACACACTACTTTTTGTAATAAGTCAGAAGCCAAAAAAAGTTGTAGAACACGTTTTTAATCTGTACCAGAGTGTTGCACTGTAAAAAGCTTGTTATACTGCCATTGTAAAAGATTTTTATTTTAAAAGTAACTAAATTTGTCAAATAAATGTAGTTGAGCAGAAAGCACAATCCTACCCTTTGAAATGTAGTGGAGTAGACGTACAAGGTAGCATAAAATGTTTAGTACATGTAATTAGTTACTTTTCACCACTGCAAATTTGTTTATTAGTTTATTCTGGACTTTTAGTAGACAGAAAGACACATTAGCATTAATTTGGAGTTAATTTTCACATTTAGCTCTGTTGGTTCCCTCCTAATTAATAACGGAGAACAACGTTGAATTTAGCCATTACAAAAGTTTTATTCACAATATTCTACTTTAAATTAACTGGGATGTGTAAATAGTTTGCTATCAGGCTCACCATTAAAAACCTTTTGAGGTGGTAATATGTTAATATTATGAGTCAGACAATATGAGTCTGTGTCACTGCCCCAAATGTTAAAAAAAAAAAGAAAGTTACTAATATTAACTGTCACCGAACAGCACAACAAAATTCCCGCCTCAAATCAAGACCGTCTGGAACAGAAGTTGTGCAGATTGCTAGAACTGTCATTTTTAAATAATTCATCATTCAATCATCATCTGCTTTTATAACTGGGGTCTGACTAACAACCTACAGCTGAACAAAGCAAACGCTGCATTGTTTATTCTTCATTTTGCTCTGATTAGTGGTCAAAACTGCAACTGTAATTATTTTGCCTGTACACAACAAAGTGTCCAACAACAGAGGACGAAGGAGGCTTTTCCCTCCCATGGATGCCAACAACATCCATGGCCAACATAATATGCTGATTTAAAATAGTAACAAACAGCAAATAGACATTTTAAATATTTTTTATGTAGAAAAAAAATACTACAAATTCAAGCCCTACCTTGGAAATTTGTCGCTGTCAATCAAAGCGGTGTCCTCCTCTCTGTCCGTGAAGCATCTGAAGGAGCCGTCGCTGAGTGGAAGCAGCTGAAGATCCTCAAGCTCCTCGTAATTCTCATCGCCCAAAACGTACTCCAAAAGACAAAGTTTGTCGTCTCTAGTGATGCTATGCACGCCGTTCTCGCTGAGAATGTGCCTGAGCAGAGTTGGAGTCACATGTTTTAGGGTGGCGTGGTATGGATAAGCCTCCTTTATGGCTCTTGCGACGCTGGCTGGTAAAGTGACAAGATTTTCTCCACAGGAAACCAGAGTCCTTTTGATGGCAGACAATATATCAGTGCTTGTTGGGCCATTGCAGGGGAACACAGCTTCTGATGGAGGGACAAACTTTGTTTCGTCTTTGGCGAGAGAGAGAAGTGCCACATTCTGTCTGAATAAGTGCTGAAAAACATCCAGAGCCACAGCGTACCATTTGTCTTTGTGTTGTACACGGGCGATGTCTGGCCACAGATCATACACGGAAGAGACGGGGAGAAGAGATTCTTGGGCAAGTTTGATGGCGTCTTGAATGATCATGACATATGCTTGTGGCAGCACCTCCCTCATCAGCAGTTCATTCCACAAAGCATGCTCGTCATGCTTCTGGTCCTCCTCTTGCCACTTGATGTGTCTTCTGTTGTCTGTGAGGCCAAAGCAGGCGTTGACATACACTGGGAGTCCTGTCTTGTTGGATTCATTGTTCGGGAGGGGGAGAAAGCAGCTCAGTCTACTGTCACTACTGTCTCTCTTCTCTCCACAAGGGAATGCCAAGTCAACCTGAGGGAAAAAGCTCAACTTTTTTGCGAGGACATCAAGCTCATCTACATTGCCCTCTCTCATGGTACATGTTGTCACAAGCCACTTGGTTGCTTTGTGGTTTTCTGAACTGAGACTTATCTGTTTGAACCTAGTTGAACCCTCAACGATTGACTCATCTTCCGTCTCCAAAACGACTTCTGTGGGGACTGAGGATTTCACTTGAAGTCTGGTGTTAACAGCGCCATCTGCATTTATGTGTATCAAGGACACAGAGGTCACATTTCTCAAGAACAGGAGACTCAAGTGTGCATCTGCAATAAAGCTATCAAAAAGCTCAACCACCTTGTTGGAGTCATACAGGTTATCTGAAATTTCTGATGTCTCATTGCGTAAAGGGAATCTGAAAATCGTCCCTTCAAAGTGCTGATCCTCCAGAACCACTTTGGACCACTCTTGCTCGCTTACAAGTGACACTATATCTCGAAAGGGCTGGAACTGATCACGCATATTCATCAGAGCTTCTTGGTGTTCGGCATCATCCAGAGACCACAGAAACCCTTTCCTTCCTTCTCCAAATATGTTTTCTTGAGGGTCCATCGAGCCAAGGTGTCCTGAACTGAATATACTTGGCACATCTGTAAACAAAGTAAAGCAAGTATGTTCTTTAAGATTAACCCTCTGAACATTAAAACCCGCCAGTGGGGCCGAAAGACACTTTGTCTTTAGAAGAATCTCCAAAACGACAACATTTGTCATAGGTACACATCGTAAGAACAGAAAGGACTTTATACTGCAGAGAAAAATGAGCCCACAGTAACTGAAAATGTGAAAAGAGCAAAACTGCCCAGAAATTTACTTGGGTTCTGAGAGTTAAAGTTAGACTGTTAGGTATGTGAGTGGTAAGGATACATAATTTTACCTGTTGTGTGGTAAATAGAGTTGAAGCCGATTCCAAACCTCCCGACTTTGTTTGGGTCATCGCGCTTGATGCTCCGTCCTGCCCTCTGAATTCCCTTCCAGTCATCATCAGTGAATGCTGCATTGTTGTAGGCATAGAGAGCAGGACCTTTGCAAAGAAAAAAAAAAAAAGTTCCAAAGATGTAATTTTTGTAGTTTCTGTGTGAACAATATTCCATAAAATTTTCGTCTAAGGACAGCATCCATTCCTTGCTCTTCCAAAAAAGAACTGCCTGCTGGTATTTTCACTAAAGGACGTGGACGGAAGTCTGATTATTACTGAGAACACATTCCTTAATCAGATGAAACCAAAGTAA